AAATGGGATTTACTAAACTGAATTCTGATGATAATTGAAGCGATTAACATCTACAATGGCAATCATGTTTATCTATTTATCAAATAGTGGATTACCTTACAGTGTTGTTTTGTTTTTATTCATAACAAAGAATTTGGATGGCGTGCTTGTATGTGACAATGATGGAAGTGACAAGATAGAGAGGTGTCATCAAATTAGAAAATAGGAAAGAGAGAGAGAGAAAGAGAGAGAGAATGTGTGAGAATGAATTGAAACAATTACCATCTGACGTCATTTAAAAAAAAAAAAGATGGCTGCAAGTGATGATGATGAACCATTCGAAGGTCAATTTTCGATTTACTACGATGAGGTAAATAGAATTGAATTTTTTTCGTTTTAAAATAATTTTTTTTGATTCTCGTTTATTTAGGAAGAAGCAAGAAAACGTGCCAAGAAAAATGATAGTTCGTATAATCAAATAAAAATAATAAATAGATTTTTGTTTTTCTATTTTAAAGTCAAGCACATGGTCTTTAATCGTGTATCATCAGTGGTGATCTATTATTCACATAGTCGTGTTAGTGAATATCCACTGCATCATGTTGGTTATTTGGGTCGTCATTTACTTTTCGTCGTGTCAACTGTTTGTGCCTTGCGTATGTGTATTGAATACATTTAGACTTGTTTTTTGTTCGTTTATATTTTAGTTGGAAATGGTCCTGATAAAGGTGATTTTATTGTTCGTGCAGCTGTATCAGACGTACGTCACAATCGAAATCATGACCAACTTGGTCAATTCTACGTTACCATTCGACAATAAGGACTAGAATCATTTTTTTGTTTGTTTTGGTTTATTGTACAATTTTTAAATGGTTAAATAAATAGAATTCCAGAAAATATCCATTGACTTCAACACATGTAAAACAATCAGATTATAATCGATTATAATCATACGATTTCCGATCAAGAATTTAAACATAAATTATCGAAAAAATCATCACTAAATCAATGCTGCCCGAGGACAACGATTATCATCAATAACTTTAGAAATCGATTCTAATCGATGTTCGCGTGCTGCATTGATTTACCGATGATTTTTCGGATAATTTATACTCAAATTTTTGATCAAAAATATACTGCCATGGATTGGAATCATAGAGAGAAAATAAAATAAAATTTATGTTAATCAAGATTTTATTTATTATTCAACAGAGAAAAAAAAAAGAAATAATATCAGTTTAAGCAGCAGGGCATTGATTTACATCAACTGTTGGAGGTTGTTGAATGATTTCATCTTCATCTTCATAATCTTCTTCATAGTCTTCTTCTTCTTCTTCTTCGTCGTCGTCGTCATAATCCGTATCATAATAATCATTGAAATCGAGACCTAATTCAATGTTTAATTCATCTTCATCGATGTCGACCACGTGTTGTATATTATTTTGTCGAAAAATAATTACCTGATTGTTTTCAGGATCAGGAATTATATCGAGACCGACGATTGATGATGATGATGATGTTGTTGAGTTATTCATTCTTAGTAATGATAGAATTCAAATGAATTCATGCCATTTCTTTCTGAAGATGCTACGAAGAAAATTGAATTTCTCTCTCCCTCTCTCTATTTTTAGCCAATGAACTTATTTTCTTTGTTTTTTTTTTGTTGTTGAAAGACTCTGAAGTACAATATCTTCCATAATTATCAAATATTATTTCATTATTTATTATCGATTTTGTTAACATTGTATCAAGATAATTTATTTGATATGTCGACCATAAGTAAACCTATTTTTTGTTTGTGAAATTTATCATTAAATTGTCGAATTTCCTAGATATCATGTCGGCTAATGTTCTTACTTTAACATCTTTGTAACCTTTTTATCGATTTCAGTTTTAATTATTGTTGTTAGATTTTATTAAAATAGTTGTTTTTGTTCATAGCTTGAATTATGACAATATCCCGAGGGCGGGTGTGGATGTGAAAAATAACCACAATACAGAAATTGTACTTCAATATTTATTCAGATTAATTCTCAAATGGTAAAATATTTATAAAAATGATCCAAAGATCAGTATATAATACTTAAAAAATTGAAAGAATCTTATTCGAAAATAAAATTTTTCAATAAAACTCAGAAATGAGTGTGAAAAATAACCACAATACAGAAATTGTATTTCATAATTATTTAGATTAATTATCAAGTGGCAAAGCATTTATAAAAAATGATCCAAAGATCACTATAAAATACTGGAATTAATCCAAAATTTAAAGAAATGAAAGTTTTAAGAAAACCGAGATCGACACGACGCGTTCCGTCCTTCCTCGTAAAAGGACTTATCGGGTATCTTCGAATTCTATTATTATATAAATCAAAACCCTCTAAAATAATTTTGAAGAAGCTAAAAAAATCGTAATAATTCTTTAAATCTAGGAAGCATGCCACGATCGTTGCCGTCCTTGCTTATGGAACTCATCAGACTGTTTTCATAGGTGAAGAATTATTTTTTAATCGAGAGGATGGACTAGAAGAGTGATCTTTGCTACGGAAGATGTGTGGAACCGCATAGAAGTGGTATATAGGCAACCCTGTAGAGGTTTGTCGAATGACTGGATCAGTTGAGGTGCAGATTTCTTCGGAATCATAGAAATTTGCGTTCGGAACTAACGGAACTTATTTTGATTTTATGGATTCTCGTCGATTGTAGTTTCAGGATCTGGAATAATGTCATCAATGGTCGATTCTTTAACATAAATTTAATGTTTTTGGGACTTTTGAATAAATAGTGTGAGTCATCGAGGACTTGGAAATAAAAATCAATAGAGCTCTTCTGAACATATGGGGAAGAGAAAGAAGTATCTTTGCAAATATTGTTCAAATAGTTACTTTCGTCATCATTTGTAGGTGTATTGTGTGTGAAGTTATGATTTTCCTATAGAGAAAATTGAAATCTTTATCGTCCGTAAGGCTACAAATGAAAATTATTTTTTTCCATTTATGAGCATGTGGTTAGACGAATTATGCCTGTCAGTATAGCTTCTAGAGTTTATTATATTTTTAATTTTCTCTATAGGAGAATTTAAAATTCTTATAAACAGCAGTAAATGCATTGTTATTTATTCAAGTATGTTTTGTATCTCGACCCTCAATTATATTATTACCCATGGAAATGACACAAAGTAACAAAAAAAAGAGATAATTTGAGATAGAACAAATTACATGTCACTGCCTACAAGAATCATCATATTTTAGCACAAGCGTGTTCTTTTTTTTTTGGGCAACATTTTATATCATGTGCCTTACATGGACAAAATTTTGTAGCATTTTTACCATTAAAATTATATGCCTCTGCCACTGAGGATTTATTCCTACTGCAACATATTCTTTACATGCTTGTGCAAGTGTAATTGTTGGTAGACTTATTGAGTTCAGACTATGGAAATTGATGAAATCATAGCTTCTTTAATCTAATAGCTCTTCAATGCCATGTAATGCTGATGATACATTTTCTTCAATGTACACAGCTTTTACATCCTTATATCATTCGATAATAATTGAATAGATATAACTTTGCAAAGTAAAATTGAGGATATTGTTATTGGACCGATAGACTTCACGGTAAAAAAATATCCATAGAATAATAAACGGAAAAAAAGGTTTTTGATAGGGTATTAAACAAAAAAAAAACGTTTTATGAAAGTGCAACGGGACACAAGCCCTTTTCCCCCGTATCTGACGAAGACAATACGTGATATTTCTGTTTATGATCTGGAAAAATGGTTTATCAGATATCTCAAAAACGGAAAAAAGGGTTTGTGTCCCGTTGCATTTTCACAAACCCTTATTTTTTTACCGTGTTGGCCGATTTGCGAACCAACGAAATCTTTCATTTGTCATTGTGCTCGTTGAGTCATGGCATTTTCATGTAGTTTTTGACGTTTAGTCGCTGATTTAAAATAAACCTCTTCTGTTTGTTCACGAATTGTTCCATATCTATGATCATGAACACTGGTATCATTGTTCACAATGGAAAAATCTGTATAATGAAAGAAAAAGAAAATGAGATGCATTTTTGAGTTAATATTATATGCTACCCTACGAGAAACCTTGAGTAGTAGCATTATCATTTAAGCCTAGATAATTACTCGAAGAGTTTATATTTATTGTTTGATGAGTTTTAGTAAGAGTATTATGAGCAATGCTGACGTTATTTGAAACAGAACTTAATGTTGGTGTTTGAGGTTGTGGTGCCAGACGAAGTCTTTGATTATTTGCATCGAGAATATTTAACTGAGTGTTACTGTTTTGAAGATCATTTGAATCATCACCTGTTCCAGTATTGGATATATCACAATGATGTACTTAAACAAAACTGAACCTAAAATAAAACTTACATCCGTTGATTTTACGAATAAAATTATCCGGAAGGTTTTCTTCATCTTCTACACCAGATTGACTAATAGCTTTCCATATCTCAAAATCTGATCTGAGTCCTTCCCCAAAAATAACTTCATAAGGGGTTTTGTTTGTGATTTTAACAACACTGGTATTGATTGCATAAACAACTGGGCCTAAACCTTGACATAAATATTTATTGAAAATAAGGAAATGTAATAAACATGAATCTGTATTTACCTTTTGACCAGTTATCTGTATGATTATGTTGCATCCATTTCTCTAAAGCTATTACCAAAGTACGATTATCATGATCAATCAGGACTTGCGCTTCAACAGGAGGTATTTTACCGTTTAATATTACTAAATCTACCCAAGTCTTTTTCATTTCCTACAGAGAAAAAAATGAAGATGTTCCATTTGATTCAAAATGCTTATTAAGAACACACGTTTATTATTTGAGTAACAAACTCCTTTCCGTTGTCACTTTGGAGTATGCAAGAAGGACCAAAGGTATAAAACTGATTCAATAGTTTTTCCGCCACGGGTTCTACTTCTTTAGATTCCAGTGGATAAGCCCATAAGAACTCTGAAATAGGATCTTTAGTATGTAAAATCCATTTAAATTTTCCATCTGGATGACCACTCATATCGATGAGGCTTATCTGAATACGTGTTAAATAATCTGTTGAAATGATCTGTTTAGCTATTTGTGGAAAAAAAGAATTTAAACTAACATTTAAGATAGAAATGTTACGTACTCGCAGACGATTTTGCAAAGTTTTGTCGATTGCTACAGGAATCACATAATTTAATGAAAATCATAACAACATCATAAGGAATCCAGGAATAGTTCGCTTTAACCTAAAATTTATATATTTCTCTTATAAAAAAAGGAACCATGACATATTACATACTTCTTTCCATGTCTTATCTCTTCCGTGATGGCCTACACGATTATGACATTCATATAATTTTGTATACAACTTTTCATACGTCACAACTGGACGACTAGCTTTGCCACTACTATATACAACATTTACATCACTATTTTTAACAAGTATGAAGTGCTTCTGAACCCAATGCTTGAACTGTGAATCACCCCAACCATCGCATAACACCAAAATAATGTCTTTGTACATTTCGTTTTTAATTACATATTTAGCACGGAATTTTTGATGAAGATTTTGAATGTGAAGATCGAGCTTTTTGTAAAATATCTCCATGTGCAATCTTAAACTATATAAAACGTCGAATTCATTTTTTTATGAACATTGATTTCATCAAAGATATTCTCCTGTTATAGACTTAAACGTTCGATTTGTCTCTTTGTTTTCTATCTCTCTTAGACACTACGCATCATGATATTATGTTGTTTATTTACTTTCATTTTCGTAGAAAGAAGCAGAAATAACGATGCGCTTACTATTGATTAGAAAAGTTTTAAATTCCCCTTTAGGAGAAATTAAAATTTTAAGTTCTCCTAGGGGGAATTTAAATTTTAAGTTCTCCTAGGAGGAACTAAAATGATTACCTGCATTTTGATCGAAAACAAAAAAGAAAATCGAAAAACTAGAAGAAATACTTTGAAATATTTCGTTGTCGAGCTTGAATGATGCTATTATTGGGGAAATCATAATTTGCTTGCGCTGACAACTTTGTATAAACTAAATACAGTACCACGTGCAATAATGTGATAACTCATTCTCACTCTCACCATTAAAAAGGTTTTGTTATGCTTACTTTCGACGAAAGTTGAGTTCACCACTAAAATTTTAAGTTTCCCCAAGGGAAGATTAAAATTTCAGTTTCCCCTATAGGGAAATTTTAAATTCTTCTTCAATACGACCGAATAGGTTTTTTTTATAACATCCCAGAACGACAAGAAAACATAAAAGTGTATCATCCAACATAGAGAAAAAACCTAGACACACGAAAAGCATTTATTTATTGTCATCTATCATCATCATATCTATGAATGATCACGGTTGATTGATCAAGGATGACGCGTGGTTGAAAAAAAAACAAGACGCTACATTGAGTATAAAAACACATGGTAACTTAATATCAATATTCATAAAGGTAAATTCAATATATTCGAGTACTAATCCTCACTGTAAGTACATCTAATTGTCCACATATAGACGAATTCAGCCAGAATATGGCATATAGCATTTTAATCTGACTCAGATTTTACATTAGGATATTCCTTTTGTAGAAGTGCTTTTTCACAAAAGGCATATGTAAAAATATTGATACTTTGAGCTACCACTGAATTAAAATTAATCAGTGAACTTTTCGTTACGTATGTCTCCTAAACACACTGGACCATCATAAAGGAAGCAGGGGACATTAAACTAGCTGCCAGGATTGGGTTCGTCTACACCTACGAGAACTCATCATATGGCTTTATGTATTTATGGACTAGCTGAATGAATTAGTTCAATAGACCCTATTTGCATCGCTACAAATCGATGTTTCATTAAGATTGTGAACATAGTTTTAGTCTTCTTTTTTTCGAAATTGACAATAAGATCAATCTCTGAAAAGCGAGAGAAGATTAGTAGATTGAGCTATATCTTTTCAAACATATCGAGGAGGACTTATGTTTGGTTTAAACTTTGTTTTTCTTTTTGCTTCTGCATAGGAAGATATGTTTATCGAGAGAAGCAACTTATTTCTATATTTGTTTGCTTTAGAAAGAATATCTTGTACGGAAGTAACGAACAGAGACCTATATTATGGTTTCAATGTCGTTGTGTTTGTCGAATAGGAACTTTGCTAAGCAAGTAAACGTATTATGTGTGAATAAATGAGAACCGTATCGAACGGGAAGCTATGGAATATAAAAGAATGATAGTCATTTCAGTTAGGTAGACATTTACTGTCGTGTAAAAGAAACACTAAAAATAAAATTTATTATCTTTTGGAAACATAAATTTCGAAGCAAAGAGGTCAATTGTGACAAGTGAGTAGCTTTAATTTGTTGTCTATGTTTGTATGCTAGTAATTTGTTTTACAATGCATCCGCGTGGTTGTCAATTATAGCAACAATCATAAAATAGAAATATGAGCCACATCGTTCGTGTAAACACCTTGAGGGTAGTAACCGTGGACAATTGAAATTTTTATTTAGAATCCAAGTGTACATATTTGTTAAGAAAACACATAAAAACCACATTTCAACAAGGTTCTCGTTGTTTGGGAACGGGAACGCAGACACTCCTACTGACGCTAAGTGAATTGTCAACTAAACGTAGACGGCTTGTATTCATTGAGTAATAACATAAATTACGTCTTCTAAATAAATTGACAAACTGTACCTCTTTCCTATATTACACATCGCGTTTGCAATCCCTTAAGGTACTCAGATTTTCCGTTGTGTACCTACCTCTTCAAAATTTCACACGAAATCAATCTCCTCGTGGCTAACTCGTTAGCATTGGGTTCCGTATTGAAGGAAAAAAAAATGAAAGGATACCGAGGATACATGTACTATTGGGACAACGATAAGCGGAAAGGATACATTTCGAGGGGTGAGAGTGACAATGTGAGTATAACATGACAGTATCCGGATTTTGTCCTCGCTTAAGACACTCGTCGGTTGGCTTTAATTCTATGGTAATTGCGTCGAATAATCTCATAAAAGGACCATAGATAAATTACCTTAACATTTATGCTGAACTAGAACAGAGACATAGTATTAATCTTAGACAAAAGGTATCCTTAACTTATGAGTGAGGGTAATATGCCAAGTTCCAGATTTCGATCTTGCTCAAGGGTCTAATCACTTGCCTTTTACTCTATAATAATCATCCGAAGATCATTTATACGTGACCATAATCTAGACACAGTTAGAGTAAAGGTCATCAAGTGGTTGCATATAATTCAAACCGAAAACTATCTTTATAACAGTAGTGATTAAAGCAAACCAAGACCGCTATTTCAACTTTGCTTCAGACTCTCTTCAAATGACAATAACTCTGCTATACACACTTACCATAAGTCTATCAACTTAAAAGTAATTTATTCAATGAAGAACATTAAAAAAACTTTTTCTTATGAATATGCCTGATTATCTTCAGTTTTCTCTTGAAACATCTCAAAAAATCATTAAATAATGAGCATTTTACAGAGTTAGGCATCAATATGGTTATGAGTACTTAATAGACGTTTGAAGTGATGATGTAGCTTTTGAACTATATCGTAACTAAAAAATGATTTGATTATCTCAACGATCACTTAAATACCTGTCAGTATGATAATGATCAGCTCTAGCGTTTTTAATGTGAAATTTCTCAAAAAGACTTCATTTCATAGCTTTATGGCAAGCTGTATATTAGAAGGCGAATGTAAATAATCGAATCTGTAGAATTCCATTAAATAAAATTATGTCACGTTTTATTTTATTTAAGAAGAGCTAAATGGAGAGAGATGTCTGAAAGAAGAAGTGTTTCTTCGTAATTAGAATTTACATTCTTTGACATTTTTTCCTAATAGTCTTCGTAATACGTGAAGCATACATCTAAAGTAGTGTATTAACTGGCTTTTTTAGACAACAACAACTCGGTTCGGTATAAAGCACAAAGAACACATTTAACTTACTTTGTAACGTGACTTTACTACAAGTAAAATGGCCACCGGTATTGTTATTAACCAACAGGCTTTGTATAACACAGGACTTTTCAAGGAATGGTCACATGAAGCATTTAACAATCTGAATGACATCGGTGTAAGTCAACATGCATCCCTTGGTACTGTTGCTCAAGAAATGGGAAACGATTTGCGTGAGATCGATCTGCATAGTTACATTGGTGTCTGTCGCATCCATAATCATTTCAAGTTAAATTCGGAAGAGGTTATCGAACTGTCGTTCGGATCATGTCTCAACGATCGTCTGACGAAGGTGCAAACCGATGCCGGTGTTGCTTATCTGAATCCTATCCAAGTGAAAGGCGGATCCGAAACTGTACCTATTCCGTACATGTGGGCATTCGACAAGGTCACTCGACTATTCTTTCCAGTGCAGTTTTTCGATGGCTCCAATGTTATCATGCGACAACGATTCTTTGAGATTGTGACCGAGAAGCGCGATCAGTTGGTTGATTTTCTACGTCGCTTCATTGACCGAGTAAGCTCCAACAGTGTAGAAGATGATATGGGCTTCTATATTCGCTATGACAACTTGATTAGTAGACAAGCTGGAGAGACTTTAGTTGAAGACACGTGTGTGGCTGATCGCAAGCAGTGGATTTTACCTACAACAAAGGAAGCCATGCAACAGAGTCTGGCAGAAACGAGGAAAACTCACCCGACTGCATTCACTAGTCAGACACATTGGTACTTTGATGACAATTTGGGTGTCGGCACGGTTGATTGTCAATCCCATTGCATCAACCATTGCAGCAGCCATCCTAGAGGTGAATAGCTACCAAGACTAGTTTCATCTTTGCTAAAGGACTCTTCAGTTGGGAAATAATTGAAATGGTTATTGAAAAAGAAATTCAGAATCACAAACTTAATTTATATCTGACATATATATTGAATTAAAGAAAAACTCAAATAAATATGTTGATAAAATCAAGATACTCTAGTGTGTAGAGCTGCCAAGACGTGTTTCGTCCTTGCTAAAGGAATCATCAGATGGCAAATAATTTAAATGATTATTGAAAATTAAAGTTTTTAAGAAAAATCGAGATCGACACGACGCGTCAAGCATACCATGATCCATATTTCGACTATTGTTTAGATAGTCATCATCAAATGATTTCGACTCTTATATAGTTATCAGAATGATTTCAAATAAATGAAATCTTAAAGAACGTATAATAATCTATGCAGAACTCCGAATTAAATGCAATAGTCTTGTAGCTATTATGACGCGTTTCGATCATTCTTAACCCGAATTCGATTGGTAATTTTTTAAGAAAATTCAAATCAATTCGAGATAATCTATACTAGTCTACTAGAAAGTGGATATCTAAACGTTTATTATTTTAAATGAATTAAAGTTTTTAGAAAAACAAGATCGACACGACGCGTTTCGTCCTTTCTTAAGGGACTCATCAGGTATCTTTGTTAGCCTATTATAATTACATGAAGTATAAACTCATTCAAACTTAAATATAAATATAAATATAAATATAAATATAAATATATAAATATAAATACAAATATAAAAATTCGAAGAAGTTAAAACTAAAACGTAATAACTAAGAACAATAATTTTAAATGAATTCAAAATTAAAGTTTTTTAAGAAAAATCAAATCATTTCGAGAAAATGTATACTATTCTACTAAAAATTGATCCCTTAACGTTTAATATGCAAAACTTTTGAGAAGAAAACAATTATAGGACACATTTTCGCATATCAAGATTTTTTAGTAGGTTTGTCAACAATCTGTTAGTATGTAAATCGAAAACTACAAAAATCAATGTAGAATTGAAAGCTATAGAAAAAGATAAACAAACACGTGATTTCAACAAGAAATGAATATTTGAATAATGAGATTATGAACTAAATCGTATTGATCATTCTTCGAAATTAATCTTTGATTACTTCTAGGCAATTTCTTAATTTCAAGATTAGCTCATGACTTATATTCAACGTTTCTTACTTAAAAGAATAATATAAGAGCTTTCTATCGAAAACGACTTTTTGTCTAATCAATGTATAAATAAGTATATAAAAGTCAATTTCCTTATTAAATAGTTCAAAGAACTGTAATAATTATTGACAGGATACTGTTTTACTTCAATATCACCATTATAACTATAAATAATCTAATCATGAATTAATCTTGAGGGTGTGGGTGTGGGGTGTAAATCGATTCGAAAACAAATCAATCTATCTCTTAACGAAGAAGACAAATCAATTTGCTAGTCTCAACTCTTGCTTTTTCAGCAACCGATCAAAGTCGAATAATTAAGATATTTGTGCTTGAATTTAAAATAAAAATGCAGAATTTTATTTTTGCCGACGCGTTTCGTATCTTTTACAAGATAGTACTCTTCAGGGCTTCAGACTTATATATATAGATATATCTAGAATAGAAAACAAAAGACAATGATTATCATTAAAATAATATATTAAATTGAACAATTTATAGAGTTGATATGAATATGAACATAATGAACTCTTCATACAGACAAAATAAAATATTTGATTCTAATATAGGTTAGAACCGAAAGTATTATTATTCTACTACTTTAAATAATCTTGAATATACTGAAGGAAATTTCGTCACAATTTTTGTCCATGAGAAATTAACGTTCTTTAGAATCATACAAAAGCCACTATTGATTTTATTGCACAATAGAATAGTGTTAAAATGAACCGATTATGATTGACAACAAAGAATTTATTCAGGCAATAGAAGCAATTGAGTTCATAAAGCTATTTATTTAACAAGTAGTTAATTTTGACTATTCAATCAATTGTAATTCAATTCATTTCTGAGAATTTTCTTTCAATGAAAGGACTTGAAATAATTTATGCGATTTTAGAATTACGCTCATCTTAAGTAGAAGAACCGTAAATTTGAACAGTACACATCTTCCTTAATAATCAATAGAGTGTTGAGCAATTTTACTTGTATACTTAAGACTTAGAATATAATAAAATACAATATTCAAAAGTTGTTTCGGTTCACTTTCAATTTTTCTCGGCAATTGTACCAGAAAGTTGCAATTCAATCATATGTATATATATATATATCTAGAACAAAAAGCAAAAGACAATGATTATGACAATTTGAAGATGCACATAAAATATGATTAGAAAAGCATAAAAGTTAAGCATTATATTTTATTTGTTTAAGAGTTTATTCTGTGTATCAGTTCATGTATCATTCTAAATTGAAGAATAGATTCAATCTAATGATGATTCAGCGTATGAGATCATTACTTGTTCATTGGTATGATTTTCTTTAATGTACTGTTGAACTTTTTGACGATTCCACTTTTCATGAATAGCAATGGAAAGTTTCGTAATGGGCAGACATCTGTGAAGATCATGAATCTTAGTATCATCGAGAATTTCATAAAATGTATATGCAATAGCATCTTCTATAGACCATTCATCATTTCGACATTTATATGGACGATGTGAACATGAACATAATGGACCATCTGTATTATTGAAATCAAGTAACTGACCACAATTTGCATTATGAACACAAGTACTATTGTACCATCTTTTAAAGGCTGGTTGAATATTAACTATATGACTTTTAATAGTGTCATCTTCATTGTGATTATAATAGAATAGATATTCAACTCGATAACTATTCAATTCACCCCATATTTGTATCATTTTTGATGAATGAAAGACGATTGAAAACAATTTCTCAATCTGTGGAAATAAAACATTGTACCCAGGAAAAAATTCAATCGTTATAATAATTGACGATGATTGTTGTACAAGTTCCATTTGAAGATAATGCATGTCTAATAACATATCATCATAGGGATATATTGTAAATTTGTACGTTCGTTCAGCTTCAATAATTAATTCGTCGAGCGTAATTGGTGATGTTGCTTGATTAATATAAAACGATTGGTATGGTTGGAATGGGATAAAATTTGATAAAGTTTTTTTATTTTGTTTTATTTCATTGTTTTTAAAAAATTCTTTATTCAATTTTTGTGTAAGAGATTCTATTTTGTGTATATAATAAAAATTACTCCATAATGACAATACAACAGTAAAAATGATCAGAATTATAAAAGGATTATAATTCATGTATATCCATTGTAGATAAGCATCCATGTTAAAACATGCCATCGTTAACATTATCTTTATCTAGAATTTGAAGAAAGAAAGAAAGAAAGTTTTTTATTATGAATAAAAATTGAAAAATGAATAAATTTCTATTGAAAAGCAATAAGAATATTATTTCTTGATTAGAAAACAGATCAATCTATCTCTTAACGAAGAAGACAAATTAATCTCCTATTCTCACTTTCAAAAAGAAAATTACTAATTAGAAGATTTTATTTGTAAAATAGATCTTTTTCTTAGATAGTAACTAGTCATGTTGGACATTCTTTCTTGATTAGAATAACAATTAGCAAGAATAGCAGGGGTTGCACCATTATAAATGTTTTTATTAAATGATACATTTCTAAATAAATTTAATATATGGAAACTAAATTCATCATTTTGTGAATTACATAAATCATTAACATGAATATAGAATCGATTCATATCTTGGGTGTGGGTGTGACTAGCTACCATAATCTATAGATTTCATTGGAACAACCCAAATCATCAGATGGCAAATAATTCTAAAGATTTTAAAGAAAAAATCAAAAGATTAATTTATAAACTATCATAT